CTTTTCCCCCACACCCCAGGTGAGGATAGCCGTCCCTGTGGAAGCAGCAGCTATTACATCTGCACCTGCCATTGTATAATTTCTTTCTTCAGTGGCAGTAATGCTTCCAAACAAGCGGCAATTTCTATCTGTGGCCTGACCCAGGGGTTTGCAAAGTGTGGGAAAGTGAGCCTCCCCTGAGAGATGATCATGAAAGCTATTAAAATTATTTACCAGTTATCCTAATCCTCCACAGTCCAACCACAAACTGAAAACAGACTCAACAATAGCCTCAGTTCAACCAAATCATTCATTGTAAGGCCCATTTGTGCAGTTTTACTCAAGTCAGTTGATTTTTTTTAACACATCAAATTCAGTGGTCACCAAACCAAATCATCACTGCACACCATACAGCACACCTTTTCACATCACTGCCTGCACATCAACCATATTCCATATACCTGCCTTAGCTATGTGTAAATGTCTGTTACTTTCTCCTGTGACTGCACTTCCTCTAGCTTCCCATAAAAAAAACTCCCATGTCTTGATCACCAAACTTGGGTTGGTCTCAATATGATACCAAAGTTTACATACTCTCTCACACATTAGCTAGTACCACTTTGCAAATGCAAACTGTGGCAGTGGGACATCATCAGGACCAGTCCATGAAAATTCAAATATATTGTCATCATATTTCCCCAGTTTTCTGCTTGCCCTAGATTCTGTCTCCTCTCTTACTGTAGGTACTACAAATTGATCCATTTTGCTCCACACATAGCCGAGCTGAAGTTTGAAAGCTTGATGTTCACACTTATTTTTTTCTGCTTTATTTTTTCTCATGCTGTGCCTACCCTGAAACTATTAGCAGACTACTGGGTGAATAGTCATGTGCAGTACTTCTACATAAATAGTTTTGGCATTGTCAGTTTAGAAATGGAGTGCATAACTGGTAGGAGAAGAAGATACACGGAAACAATCTTCCCTTTCATATATTTCCCTTTCCTGACATTAGTCAGTCAGGTTACTGCCCTGCTCTTTAAAGGGGATGAGAGGAGCTGGGTTGATTGGACATAGCCAGAGCCAGACCAGACTCCAATTGCTCACCATGTGTTCCTCCTTATAATAATGTATTCTACATCTTCTCCACAATGCACCCGGCAACGCCTGGCTATGGAAGAAAGTGCACTGCATCGGTAGTCACCAAAATTGCAAAACATTTTTGAACATGCCCATATGAACCTTGCACCTGAAGTTTAGACACGAGTTTAGTGCTGTGCCCTATTGCAGTTAAATAGAGCCCATAATGTTTAGCTGAGCTAGTAATTTCTATCCGCACCCGAGTAGTGGTTTGAAAAAGGGCATGACAAAGCCATGCCTGCTGCAGATTCACAGTAACAAAGTAGCAACACAGCCATGTCCAAAAGGTTTTGAGACTGTTTTTAATTTTTTGTCAAATTTTAAGCTATGCTGGAGTCTGGTGCAGTTACTGGCAGAATCTAAGTAGCTCATTCTGCCACCCCTTGTTATTGTTGATGTCTGTATCATTACAGGATTCTGCTTAGACTACTTATGACTGGGTTTACACTTTGATTTTATTTCTGTAATTTTAACTGTCACTTCCGATCATTCAGGGAAACAGAATGAAAACAACACCAGATAAAGTAAAACGAGTAAACACATTCACATGATAAAACAGGGACTGCATAACAGTACTATGGTGCTTAGAATCATATGGATGCATATTAACATCATTCCCATTGGCTAGGACAACATTTAATCACCATTTTAATTGCTGCCAATGTGGGTCATGAGGTCTTTATTTATATATCAGATCCATAAGTCTCCACTGTATATATAATAGAGATTAGTGCAATTATTGATTATTGTAATCATTTTACCTCTAACCTTGAATAAATTATTTTCTCTTTCCACAGTTGAAAATGTGGAGCACTGTGAGTTTGCCTGCCTGAGGGATTTACTTATCAGGTGAGTGTAACACTGCTCTTACATTTGGTTCATTATAAAAATGATGAGACATAAGTCATTTGTAAGGACCATAAAAAAATCACTGGAGATATTTAAAGGCCAGTTTGTGCTTTCCATGTCCACGCCTCTACAGACATTAATTAATTACATTATTATGATACAAATATATATCAGCCAAAATGTAGAATCTTTGTTGCTGAAATGTTATTAGTTGAATTTATAATTTCCAAAATAGTGAAAATCCCTTCCATGTGTACTCTACTGTATCTATCTACAGTATGCAATCTGTTTTTACTAGCTCTTATTTACTTGTAAGTGGTGGTGTCCTGTATATGGGAATCATGCACATAATAATGTCAGTATTACAATATCACCACAGCTGTAACAGAGCTCAGGACCCAACCTGAGGATGACTGTTGCAGTACAGAGTGACTGTCATACAGTATATCAATCTGTGAGGTGTAGAAAAGTAAAGAATGTCATTTGCTGTTAGATCCTGACTGAACCTGTCTCTGTGTAGGGGATCATGATTATAAATGATTAATAATGGTACTGTTGTTGTGCCATGTGCACATATGCACACAGCTCCTCTCACTTTGGAGATGAGCCTGCTGATGCACGATAGTGACAGTTATTTAATAACCTAAGAGAAAAGAATCCTACAAACACCTGCAAGCAACAAACAAAGCTTGACGTTTTGATAGAATTCAGTTTTCTTTGAGTGGCATGAAGAGGTATTACTGGTATGCCTCAGTACACTGTTACATACTCTTAATAGCTACTTCTATTTGCAATGCATGTGAAACTATTTGGTGTGAGATACGTTCTGGCAGCATGAGAGCATGAGATGGAGCCTGAGAGTTGGCAACCCTGCTTTCTGAAAGAGACAATCTAACATTCACATTCACTTCATGTGGTCAGCTGTGCACATATGAGAGAACTTCACCCTTTAGCTTGATTAGTTTTTTCATTCCTAAAAAACAATTTGTCATTTCTTTTGAGAACCACCGAGTTCAGCATTAAGAATGTCTTCCAGTAGAGACTGTATGTAAAGGCACACTGTCTCCATATTTAACTGAACTTCAGTTGCTACGAGGTCACCATCAGTCTGACTGGGTCGACACTGGAGATGTAGCAGCAGCTCCACTCCTCGGTCTGTGTCCACACAGGATGTGTAGTTTTGAGTACAGGTCACCCAGCACATAGTCACTGTAGATATGCATGCAGAATGGTCCTGTTTACATGTGTATAGCACAAGTGAAACGGAGCTGTGCAAACAGCTGTACTGATGAAAATAGAAGTGCATCTGATCTGACAGTATGGATTGGGCCACATATATCTGTCCGAACGCAACCAAAGCCTGAGAGTGTGGCTCTTGAACCTGAACTGAACTCGACACAGTTGAGTTTGTGTGGTGTTTATCTATGGTCCCTGTGAATCTAGTATTATGGATATCATTGTCATGCACTAACCAGCTCATCATTTTAATTTTTAATAGGTCTAGAACTTTAAATTAGACCAAAGAAGAAGCATGGATTCATTTACAAGTGAAATATTTACAAGTGCAGTAAGACCCGTTTACTCTGAAGTTTGACCTACGTAACTGACACCAACCCAAACCCCTGGGTCCCATTGGCATGGGTTAGGGTATCCACCATCTAGCACACCGTACTACCCAGTGCTAAATTACCTGACAAAAAGTCAGCAAAAATTTTAAATCTATTTAGAAAAATGTCAGTGAACCTATTTCTGGTAACATGTTTGTGTTTTTTGTAAAGATCTCACCTGCAGGACCTGAAAGATGTGACCCACAACATCCACTATGAGACCTACCGTGTACGACGGCTCACCGAGAGCAACATGGACTTCGGTGAACTGGGCTTGCCCACCTGGCCGCTGGAGAATGGAACTCGTGACAAATGTGAATCAGAGAGCCACCTCTGATCTCTCTATCACGCCCTGCACATCATACTGAGAGATGGGGAAAACAAAGTGTTTTTTTTTTTTGCTACATCAAAAATGAGATAGAGAAATACTTTTTTTCATTGTGGGACCAACACGTGGATTGTTTTAAATAAAAATGTCTATTTGAGTTTTTATACAAGACAAATACATCAAATATGAATATATTTTTTAATGTAAGCTGATACATATTTTCAGGAATGATGGTGACATATGCAGAGCAGGGAGAGCAGGCATCACAACATGGCACAGTGCAAGTAGGCAGTGACCCCAATGGTGTCAGGAGTGTGGACAGACCCGACTGTATCACCTAGCATTTCAGTTGGATCACACTCAATTCATGCTCATGTTCAACCATCACATATGAGTGGAAAGCTCAGGTGTCCACGTACTTTGTGTAGGTGTTCACAAATATTCAGCATCGTTCTTGCATAGGTTAAATGTGTTTAAATGGGATTCTAAGGTGAAACTCATCATGTTGTAGCTTGAGGAAAGGATTTAAATTCATTTGACAAGTTGCAACCGAAAGCATTGTAGCATATAAAGCCTGGTGAATTGACCCATCCTCAAAACAAAATTCAGTATATAAATGTGAACCTGCTGCTGTGCCTAGTGCTGCCTTGTTCATTTCGACTATATCTCTTGCAAAAAGTACTACTGAGTTGCTGATTTGAAATACTCAAACCTTGTAAGAGTTAAGTCCTCCAATATGTTATGGGAAGGTGTTTGATATGTAGGTTTGCTCTAGCTTTTTTTGTTTTATTAGGAAAATCTGGCTGCCTTTCATAATGGCAGATAGACTACAGGAAATATAAAGTAACCAATTAGGCTGTAGGATTTAGGAGGGCATGCTTTATTGTATCATTCACCCTGCGGAGTCTATATAGTCCTATAGTCTAGCCTGTTTTTCCATTCAGGACACCATATCACACTTATATGGCAAAAACTGAAGCTAGTGTTTATGTGGTGTAGGTTTATGGCCCACACAAGTGTTTACTTTTTTACAGCTTGTAGTCCACATTAAAGTGCCAAAACAAGAGAAACATTTTAAAATTCTTTATCCTTTGTTTTTTTTAACGTAACTACAAAGTTATATATAGTTATAATATAGTTTTGGAGTAACAGTCACAATGAAACTACCGACTGTTGAGCACATACATAATTCACTAGTATTTACCTCAATCTTGCTCAGTACTCCACCCAGTGGATAAAATTTGCAGCATGTGTGCAGTCATCAGTAGCACAAGTTATATGCTCAGTATAAAAGCAAATTTCTGAAGGTGTGGTCACTGAATTTGCAAGACCATGATCCAGTCTTATTTTCAAATTTCACTGAGCTTGATCAGGTTTGGAATAGGATAGTTGATGTGTAAATTATAACCTACAGTTTTGTTGTTGTTGTAATTTGTGGTATTTCATTAATTATTTTTCAGTTTTTAGTGGCTTTTATCCTGTTACCTTCTCAGAACTGTAGCTCCCATCTGTGGTTGGGGGAGTTCTGGTTTTAGGCTAAAGCTAATTTAGCCTGGCTGGTTACAGGTACATGCTGATGAGGGATAGCATCAGCTGCATTAGGTCACATTCATATTACCATTTGCTCTGGGTGAAAAAGCTGCAGCTCTTTTCATTTGATTGAATGGGTAAAGTGCTTTCATGCATCGGGGGGGGGGGGGGGGGCAAAGCGTGTTGAGCACGGAAGGGGGGGGGGGTGTACAATGCTGTGTCATGCAGAAAACAGTGTTGGATCTGATTGAACTTTTTCTGCAATGCAACATGATGCCATCTGGCAAGGCACTGCTTTAACCAATCATGTAGGCAGACAACCAGACTGAAGATGTCCATGGGAGGAAGAATCTTGTTCACCATGGGGCATTTTTGCATTCTGCTCTTTAGAAATTAGAAACTAGAAACTGTGAATAATTGTTAGAGGCATTATGCAAACAAAAACATTATGGAGATTTCTTTGTATGTTTTACTATGTTTTACTAGTATTCATACTTTGCCTGAAAAAGCACTGCTAGCCTCTGTGCCTTTGCAGCGATAGAATGGCTCATTAGCTTTCACTACCAACACTGCAGATATGCTGGTCGCCATCCACACCTCCTGCAGAGTGTCTTTACCATCATATCATCAGATACTATGGAGCCTGAGGCCAAGTCTAAAACAGTGACATTTGTCTGCCCATCTAACCTATACTGCTGTTGTGCACTTTTTTAATGCTGAAAGTGAGAGTTCTGGCAGAAAATGAGGATGTACTTACCCTTTAAAGAAAGTTTCACTGCCCTCTCTGGTTATCTTCTCTGACCACAGTTGCTAGGGGTTGTCACCACAGTGATAGTGATGCACTGAGATTAGCAGAAACCACACTTTAGCTGCTGTCAGGTTGCTCTTGAAGGCATTTGACAAATGTGCCTTAGTGCCATCATCTGATATGATTCTAGTTCTGATGGTTGGATCTTTTCAGAAGAACAACCGGTTACTCCATACGATCTTAGTAGGGCAAAGCATCTTCTCAGAGCGTGATTACGTATTCAGTGTTTCTGTAGAGCTGATCAGTGATCACACACTCTTCTCTTGGCTTTTACTAGTGATTAATGGGCAACTCAACACTCCACCTTGTAGAGAGAAGCACTGTTGCATTGACCATCATAGGTTCAGGGGTTCATTTCTGACCACATCAGAGCTGAGTATGGCCAGGTGCGGTACAAAGTGATGTAGTGCACAGGGTGTCGGCACATCATGCTGCTGCAACAGCTAGAGGGCAGCTCAGGCAGGATTTCCAGCCCAGAGTATTTCTCTTTAAAAAACAAATGACCAGTGTAATGTGGAGGAAAAGGCTAACTGGATTGTCTTTTTTTTTTGTCCAGCATTGACAGTTTTCTACTCCATAATGTTAAGTGAGCTCAGTTTTCTCTGTCATGATTGGCCTTGCGCTGTACTGTATGTAATGGCCACATGTTCTCTGCCTGCCATCATAAGTTTATGGAGGCTCATATATTTCATTTATTGCGCTTGAGAGACAATTTACATGATGATGCATCTCTCTTTTTCAGTTTCTGCATTTGTTATCAGATACTCCAAAAGATAGTTCAGCTTTAGGAAAGCTGTTCAAGAATAGTTTTGGGACACAACTTATTAACAGCATATAGAGGTGCAAGGTTGACTCACACCCAGCTAACTAAATGGGGACATGTGTCCAAACTTTTGACTGGTAGTGTAGCACATAGAGCTCTATGTCTTAGGTTTGGTGTGGAGTTTAAATATGGTAGCACAGTTAGGTTCAGTTAGGTCAGGTCTTGAAGGTGCAGGTAAGGGCCAGGTCGTAGCTACACATGTGCATGTGCAGAATTCTGGTGGTGAGTTCCTATTACTGTTACAACCAACTAGCTATCATCATTAGATACAACACCACAGTTTAAGACCTGAGATTTACACCTGACACTTTGTTCAGAGGAAGTAGCAGAGAAAAAGGCATAAGGAAAGTGCCCTATAATGTTTCCTAAAAGCCAAACCTTTACTGCAGTCATAACAAATCCTCCACCCCAACCACCACCTTCCTCATAAAATGGTTTGCAAAATGGTTGGACACCCTTAATCTAGATCATTCTTTACAGAAGTTGTTAAGGCTATATTTTTTCTGTAGCTTATGGTAATGACTCACTGAACTTACATATGTGTGCATTATGTTAGCAATTTTATAAGAATTGTCTTTATGTATGTTAAATCATTGTGACAACCTGATTAATTAAACTGTCGATGTCTTAGAGTAGGAATAGCACAGGTGCTACTGATAACATTGGCAATGACTAATCTGTTCATGTGTTTCAGTACGTCACTGGAATGTGACAGTAAACTGAAGCAGCCAAATTCAGCTCAGCTATCAGTCATTTATCTTAAATTTAAACCCATGCTTTTTCTAGTGTGACCTGTCAAAACATCCTTTATGAAAAGGGCCTATCAGCTATTCACGTGGTAGGCTCACTACTGGAGGATTTGAATATTACATGATGACTTGTAAAATGTTCAAATGATTGTTAATGTTGAGATGGCAGGGTGTGCTAAGCTATCTATCCATGGATAAATGAAGATGAGTATATATTTTTAGAGAAGCTGAATATGAGTAAAGTCATTTCTGTTACTTTAATGTGCCCCGTGGGGTTTTCTTGTGAAAAATCAGGTTATGTTTATATTCAGTATTATTTACCAAAACTCATATGTATCTTTGATGTCTAACAAGCGCAATGAGTGCATTTCACAGTGTGGAGTGATAGTGGAAATGTGGTGACACCTGAGCATAATCAGGCTTAGCATTGTTGCCACATTTTTACTATGTAACCGAAAATTGGAAGGCAAATCTTTTTCTTTTTCAAAGTAATGGTTACCTGGTGTCCATTGTGTCAGTGTTCTTCTGTAGTCACATGTCACACCAAACCCATCACAGTCACATTTTACTTTGATTCTGATCACCCACAGCATGTCGATGTACCTTCCACATCTCTGTATCCTGCTCTTTGTTTTTAGCATGTACTAACACTTCTCATATGATTATTGTTTTTGTTCTTTTATAGTTTTAATGACACACATATTAACACTGCTGATTTACAAATAAATACCTGCCACTTTCTCAGTGCAGTGTGAAATCATTGTAATAAACTTACTGATGATGGCTTTTGTCTCTGCTTTGCCCTCACTACCCTATAGGCCCCAAACTGTTAGGGGCCACACAACCACCCTGCTTTTCTGTGAGTCATCTGGTTTTCACAATAAAGTTGTACTTTATACTAAAGTTGTTTTTTGTACAACTTCTGTTATGTGGGTTTGGGCCGTTTCATTAATCATTAATTTGTTAGTTCATTTTCACCCCAAAATTCAACAATTTCACAATTGATGCTCCTGCATTGTTATAGTACTGTCAGGACAGGTACGGTTGGACCCAGTATGCAGACACGCCAGGAGTTGAACTCAAAAGGAGTTTATTCAATACACAAACAACAGGTTACTACGTGGAGGAGAGAGGGGACACAGGCAGAGCAGGTACTGGACAAAGGCAGGCAGGCAGCATGGAGCTGGGGATGAAGCAGGTAGGTAATGTGCTGACAGAAGGCGAAGGAGAGTCAGGGAAACAGGGAAAAACAACAGAAAAATAGGAAGCATGGACGCAAACCATAACAAGTACATAATGTAGTGTCCCATAGTTGTAGATGGGTACTATATGTTATGGTTTGGACTTGCTTCCTGTTCTCGTGCTTTTATTTTGGTTTGGTTTCCTGTCTATGTCATCTCACCTGCCCCAGCTTTACTCCAGTTCCTGATTGTCACTCATTGTTTTCACCTGTTGCTCATTGTCTCCCAGTCCCTATCCTTTATATTCTGCTAATTTCCCTCAGCCAGATGTTGGTTTATTAAGCTTCTCATATCTTGTCTGTTTGTGTTGCTCCTGTACTCACTGTAAGATGTGTTCTGCTTTGTTTCTTGTTCCTGCAATTTGTGGATTATTTTCCATTGGAGTTTGGACTTTCCTGTTGCCTTAAGTTCTCAGTTGATGTTTCGGGTTTGTTTTGAGTTGTTTACTTGTGAGTTCTCTTCCCTGAGGTGAACTGTTTAGTTTAGTTACTCTATTCTTTGTAACTCACTGTCAGGTAGAGCTCCTTGTTTTATTTCCTTAGTTGCCTTGTCCAGCATCCTTTTATTAGATTTTACTTTAGTTAGTCCTCAGCCTGTTTACATTTTTGGGCCAATCTCATAGCCTAGATCTGTCATGTCAAACTCCTCCTGTTTCAAGACTTTTATTGTCTTAAGTCATAGGATGTTGTGCTCACCATGGAAATGGTTGTTTAATTAAAATTAGCACTAACACAAAAACCTGTTTACTCTTACCAGTCTGTGAAGTGTTGATACATAATGACAACAGCCTTTATGCATATGCACAGAGGAGTGAGATGTTAAGATCTGGGACCATACATGCAAGTGGTCCAGATCTGATTGGAAAGAAATTGGATTTGGTTTATTCACACTTCTGTGAAAAGATCAGATCTGAGTCAGTTTAAAGGGTGAAAAATGAGTGCCAGTTAATTCAGCAGGTAACATGAACCTAGCTTCAGAGGCTACAGTGTGCAGACACGGAGTAGAGTATGTGTGGGGTCACAAAGGACACAACAGCATATTTTTTTTGTCCAAGGGCTCCAAATGTATAAATTTGATCAGAGCATTCACCAAAATTTATATATTTTTTAATGTTGTACCTCCTTAACAAATGAGACAAAATT